ATCTCCATGTATCACAACATATATATATATATAAAAAAATAGTGTAAATATTTTGGTTATATAGATTTACACTATTTGTATAATAGTACATCTGAGGAATTACAAAGGTGCCACACCAACCCCTCTGCTATATATTCTTATTACAGTATTTAAGACAGTGAAGGGTCATTTGTAGAAGAGACCCCCCAAAATACTCAGATCTGAACTGTTCACTACCCATCCAGAGTAGGCTAATGTTTTCTTTTTGTTTACAATACATGATTTAGAACTGTTTCAGGGTCCTATTAATTTAATTAAGTTATACATAAGAACATAAATATCTATTTATTATACAAGATAATTAACAAATCATCAGGTAAATTTGTGAAAGCAGTCTATCCTTAGAAGATCAGAAACAGAGATCAAATCCACCCCCATATAAGGCTTAAAAGCAGACTGATATTATCTATTTTAGAAATGTAGCATGGTATCTGACTACAATCTTCTTTTAAAATTGCAGATAAAGTAACAAAACAATTAAGTAACCCTGATATATTAAAGCAATCTTTTATTTGGCTCAATCAGTGGAGACGGAGACACTTACTTTCCTAACTGGAAAAAAAACACAGAACCTACTCTAATTTAAATTTTGGTTGGAAAAGTTATTGGTACTTTTGTGATATTGTTTCATTGGTCTACTCTCTGGATTGCAAGAAAAAGTGTGTCCTCATAACAATCTCTTGTGCCTGATGTTAGAAGAGTTCTCTTAATTGAAAACTGCCCATTTTAGTGTTGACTAAATGTTAATTCTTTGCTATGTTGATACTTGGTAGACATGTGCAATTCTTTTCGTTTTCAAATGTACATTCGGACGAATTTCATGCAATTCAGACATTTGGATGCTTACGAATGTTCGAATTGCCGAATTGCCAAAGTGCTGAATTTCCGAAGTGCCGAACCGAATTGCTGAAGTTCCGAACAAGGGTTAGGGGTTATGGGTTAGGGTTAAGGATCCGAATTGCCGAAGTTCCGAACCAAACTGAATGCCATTGGTCCAAATTGCCGAAGCAGACAATTTTTTTTACTTACCCGAATTTCCGAACCAAACTAACCAAATTGCCGAAGTTCAAATTGCCGAATTGCCAAAGTGCTGAATTTCCAAAGTGCTGAACCGAATTGCTGAAGTTCCGAAGTGGCAAAATAAGGGTTAGGGGTTATGGGTTAGGGTTTGGGTTAGGGTTAAGGATCCGAATTGCCGGAATTCCGAACCAAACTGAATGCCATTGGTCCGAATTGCCGAAGCAGACAATTTTTTTTACTTACCCAAATTTCCAAACCAAACTAACCAAATTTTTTGCCCATGCACATCCCTAATACTTGGCACCATTGTAATCATAGAAATGTGTGAGAAATAACTATCAACTATATGCTCTGTGACGAAAGTAACCTCGCCACTAGTTTTTGGAGGGGCTTGTTTGCCAGTCTCCTACCCTGTAACTATGGCCCCTGCAATAGACCTGGCTAAAATACTTTAAACAGACTCTGTTCGTACAGTTGGAACTATATGGTTTGCTTACCGAACAGCCGCACGAACCAGAGACCATCCTGGAGCTTGTTAAGCTTAATTGATACATTGTTGCAATTTCCACCGCAGTGGTCTAAGTGTTCATCTGGGTGGCCCCAATTCCTATGGACGACCACGAGGTGGCGGCCATATTGTTGCATGGACTAAAACCGTGAATAGTCTTCAGGGGGACTTAGCCGCGAATGCCCTGGAACTATTTTCGTCATGAAAACTGCGGTTCCCGGTCGGTCCTCCAGCGGCATTTAGCCGCGATTCTATGGAACTATTTTCAGCTATGGGACCATGCCTGCGGTCGGTCAAATAAATGAGGCTGTGTCTTCATAGTAACCCATGCATAGAGCATGTGACGGACCGCCTGGCACCCCAACCGTGTACCTCCATCAATAGCTGCTTCCTAGTACTTGAGAGAACCATAAGCACTGTACTGGAACACAATAACCACTGTAAACCACATGAACCACGGCAGCTTGATTGGGGTCTCGTCATCCTCCATCCACTCTGGACCCAAGACTAGGATCCAGCTTCTAGTGTGTAGACCTATCCTAGTCCAGAGAGTGTAGCAGGAACAGCTCTTTTAAGAGCTAGTGATTATACTTAGGGGAGTATTATATATATATAGCAATCCCCAGAGTGTATGTAGTTCTCCAATCCCCCAAACATGAGCCAAGACTTCATGAAGGGGTAAACGAATCTCAGTTTAATGGGAGCCACAATTGGCCTTAAATGACAATCCCCATGCAAGGGGTACACCCACAGGGACCTTGTGGGGGACTGCTTTGCAACTTCACAGACCAATAACAATAATGTTACAAGGCACTACACTCCCACACACAGCACACAATCCCTCCCCTCTGCCTGGGAGATAATTGGATCAATAACTGTACTAATTCTAATCCAGTTATTTCCAAAATCCAGAAAAAACATACTTTTTAAAAACACCCCAAAAGTACCCTAAACATACATAAAACCCCACAAATATTACACTGCCTGATAACCCTGATCTGGGTGACCAACATATCCAAAAATCACCCATATCAGTTCAGGGGTTCAGGAATTTTATGGAAGTCATTTATTTGACCGACCGTAGGCATGGTATCATGCCCAAAACAGTTCCAGAGAATCAGGGTTTGTCGTCTGTCTAGTTCGGTAGTTTGAAAATGAACAAACTACCGAACAGAGTCAATAGTCTTACCCTGGAGCTTGTTCCCTTCATCCAGACGAAAGATCTCACTGAACAGTGCCCTTCTAATATAGTATAAAACCGAATACAGGAGATAATAGAAGTCCAGCGGTGTTCGGGTGTTTCTGTATCCGATTTTAGTTCCAGGAGAATCATGCCCAAACACTGCCACCTGCGTTCATGCAAACAAGATGGCCGCCACCTCGTGGTTGTCCATAGGAATTGAGGCCACCCAGACGAACAATTAGAACACTGCGGTGAAAATCTTTCCAAATTGTTTATAGGTGTTAACAAGCTACAGGGTGGTCTCTGGTTCTTGTGGTTGTTCGGTAATTCGAAGTGCCAATTCAAATTGTTTTGGGAGTTCAAAGTGCTGCTTCAAAAGTTTGAATTGTTCCTGTTATAAGTCCAAGAGGCACAACCAGAGTCTTTAACCCAAAGTTCATTACAGGGGCCATAGTCACAGGGCAAGAGGCTGGCAAGTATGCCCCTCCAAGAACCCGTGACGAGGTCCAGTTCGTCATACAAGTGATCAAAACACTATACTACACGCTACCAGTGCACATCCTAATGCACTCTTAAAGTCACTCCCTAAGCCTCAATATATGCGGTCATTAGAAATAACTCTAATTCAGAAGTGATGGAAGAACAAATAAGTGCCATGACTCACTTGGATTTATTACAAAAAGCCCTATATTTGGAGAGACAGAATTAACCATCTTCCACCAAGAAAACACAAAGACGAATAGTGTTTCCTACAACATACAATGCTGCGTCTTCAAAATTAGCTTCAATTGTAACCAATAATTGGAATATGTCAAAACATGATGATACATTGAAACAATCCTTTAAGCAACCTCCATTGATGTGTTTTAAAAAAGCAAAAAGTCTACGTGATCTTCTAGTATGTACAGATCCAATAAGGAGCTATATGCCCAATAAGGAAATACACAATAGAGGGTGTATAAGATGCCTTGGATCCGTGACCTGTTGACACAAGACACCGGGCCATTATTTTAACCATCTCAATATGAGGAAGACGTACCAGATACGGCATACAATCACCTGTAAGTCTACATATATCATAAACTGTCCTGTCTATGTGGACAGGTATATATTGGTAAAACGGAAACACAGTTATGTGAGCGCATCTGAGGACATCGATCCAGTATCAGAAATGCCACACGCGATGGGACTTCGGATAAGCTAGTGGCAAAACATTTCCTAGAATTTAAACATCCTCTATCTTCACTCAAATTAATTGGGCTTGATCATATACCAGAATTATGACGAGGTGGAGATAGGGCAAAGTTCCTTTTAAACCATGAAACGTTTTGGATTTATAAACTTAATACAATAGCACTAGCAGGTCTTAATGATCTTTTGTAATTGACTGCTTTGTAATAGGACTATCACAATAGCAAATATTTTCTCTTTGAACAACAAATGGTCTCACAGTATAGTATTTATTAAATCTCCTTTATTATGAATACTTACGTAGCCATTAGTGATGTCCCGAACGGTTCGCCGAACGGTTCGCCATGGAGGGCGAACATAAACATAAACTTTGACCCTGTACCTCACAGTCAGCAGACACATTCCAGCCAATCAGGGTCTGGGAGGGAGGGTCTGCTGCTGATTGGCTGGAATGTGTCTGCTGACTGTGAGGTACAGGGTCAAAGTTTATGTTTATGTTCGCCATCCGTGGCGAACCGTTCGGCGAACCGTTCGGGACATCACTAGTAGCCATAAGTAATTTGCCACTACCTTGACTGTATATATATTATATTGTAAAAGTACAGTTTTTAATTTTATAGATTAATTTATTGCTTATATGTCTATATTCTCAGAGATAATATATATTAATGAATTGTTTTGGATATATTCCTTTAAATATGTCTTTGAACTAATCAGCACTTTTCAAACAATGCACATTGGAATTTGGCACTTTGTTTGCAAACTATTTTTCTTAATTTTTCTCTGCATGCATGGGGATATCATATAAATGCCCACTTTTGCACATAGCACTTTCAAGGCACATGATTTATATAGAAGTGCCGGTGCTTTTCAAACTGTATTAAATTTTATATCAAGAAATTTCCTTATCTTGGGGGGGAACCTGACCGCAGAACTGAGTGGCTGACTACCTCAGGAGCTCCTGCACTAAACTGCAAAAAACTTACCTTTAAAGGCCCAAACGGCAACAAATCGTGCCCCAAAGGCATGCAATCAAATAAGGGCATTGCACAGAGCAAAATGATACCCCTCACACTACAAAACGGGCAGTTTTCACCGGACAAGCACCTGACACCTCCACCCGCCACCACTAGACGCCTCTGTGACGAAAGGCCACTGTCACACCCCCCCGGACGGCGGGGGTTATCCCCTTCCGCCAGCCCAAGGAGACCACTCACCTCTGGGACATCTTTCAGCACACCTCCGACCAGAGGATCACACTTGGCCCAGCCAAGATGGCTGACTGGGAAGCTGACAACGCAAAGCTACAGACCGCTGATGAGTGGGCAGCAGCCATCGAAGCTAAATTCGATGCGATCTGCCAGAAATTCTGGGAGCGACTAGAGGCGGGAAACTTACCTCATGTTCCACTGCCAGCCGCAAGGTTACCGCGCCAATGTGTA